AGAATCCTAATGTATTTCTCTCCCCTCTCTCAAGTGTCGGCTAGAAATTAATTTTAGAATTCAATTCCAATATCTCTATTCCGAATTAAAATCAAAGATTTATCGAATTCATGATTCTTTTATGGAGTAAATTTCATAAATCCTATACTTTCTTTCGAAACCCATAAAATTTACGTTGTGTCAATCCTATGATTGCACCTAAATTCCACTTTCTCGAGTGCTGAAATTGACTAGCATCTATTCATTCAATTAGTGACCAATTAATTGAAAGCATTAATTTTATTACACAATCAAACATATATGAAAAATCAAACAGAATAATTATGACAAAATTAAATCATAATATCAAGTTTGGCTACATCAAACCTTAGATATGAAAATTAGTTTATAACTCCTAAAGACAACATAATAAAATCTGAATTAAAGAACATGGAGAAGAAAAGAATAAGAAAAACTCTTTTGCCGCTTGAATCCTCCTCCAAATCCTTGTCGTTTTTGCTCTAGATCAATTCTCATTTGTGTTGTCTTCCAAGTCGTCCTTCTTCTCGCCTCTCAAATTAGGTCTGCTCACTTGTATTTTTAGTGTTTTTGAGTTTAGGGACGAATTAAGGTTGAATTGGGACAAGAAAAGATTTCAAAAATATAAAAAAGCTTTTCCCGCACCCGGCTGCGCCGCGGCCCCACCCTTTCTGTCGCTGGCGCTGCGGCGCCACCCTCTCTGTCCCATTTTTCTTTTCTACAGGTCCTTCAATATTTTTATCATAACTTTTTCTCCCGATATCCGATTGAGATGATTCAAGATGTGTTGGAAATCTAACTCAAAGGACTACAACTTTCTCTAATTCGATCATTTGCTGTGCCAAAAATGGGTCTCAATATTAGACTAAAAATTTCGGAGCATAACTTTTCGGTTGGAAATTGATTTGTGATCATATTTTGACTAAATCTGATCCCTTTGACATCTTTCCTCATCTAATTGGCCCTTAACAGTCTCAAATCTTCATCATGAGGATTAGCACAACTTTTGAGTATTACACTTTAGTCCCTGAACTTTGGATCTCTTACAATTTAGCCATTTCTCCAAATTTGTCAACATTTGCTTATTTTCTTCAATCTCACCAACCTACTTCACAACATCAAAACACACTTAAAAACACTCTAAAACTTTCTCCAGGGTAACAAAATAATGCATTAAGTGACATAAATATGATGAGTGTGGAACACTCATCAAAATCTTAATTGAGTAAAAACTTCGGGCACTTTATCGTTCAGTAATCCACTATAAATCGAAGCAAACTTACAGTAAAGTCCTGACCCGTCTACCCGTAAAACTTCTAACATCAATTCCTATTGTCTCACTTCATCCTACTGGAGGTGTACTCCTTCAAAACAAATCCCGACTCTTGGTTTATACCTTAGCGTTCCTAGATTGAGTGCTCATGACGACAGATCCTAACTCCTGGTACATCACCTTAGTCCTCCTAGATTTGTGCTTCTGCAACAGCTCTCGATCACTGATATCGATTTATCTCCGGTAGATTAAATCAAGAACTTCTCGTTCTTCGGGTTGGTATTTGATCAAAAAATCTTGTGTGTTTTAATCTGTGATTTAACATGAAACAATATGACTAGATCATCAAATTAAAGTTTGGATGAATTTATGACTAAAATAATTTGGTGGTTGAATCTTTGAATCGAAGAATGTGTTTTGGATTTTCAAATGAATGATCTCTATGGAAAAATATGATTCAACACACTTTTGAACGTCCCATATAGTGTATATTTATAATGGATAGTGTTTGGGATGAAAAAGAACTCAAAATCATCTTGAAAATCAAATATTATTATTCCTCGGATAACAAAGTCACTCGGCACCAAGACAACTACGGGTGAATGACACTTGAACAGTAGTATTTTTATCATAACTTTATCTCCCGATATCCAATTGAGGTGATTCAAAATATATTGGAAAACTAATTCAAAAGGCTACAATTCTTTTAAAAGCAGCATTGTCCATATTCCAATTTTTTCTAAGTGAAAAATGTGTTGCAAGTTACGACTGAGCATTTGGAGCATAAGTTGTGCCGCTCTTTGACATTCTTTAGATTTCTAATTGTATTCCAATGATCATATGTGATTTTCTTGGACATCTTGGATATTTTGGACTCCTTCAAGATCTATACTATTAATTCCAACTACTTTGCTATAATTAGGACTCAATAGCTTTTATTTTGACTTTGATTTCAACTTAATAAACTCCTAATACAATTCAATTATGAGAAGATTTTGACTAAAGAAATTGTCAATTACAAATTTAGAAATTGTAAATTAGAATTTCGACTTAACACTTATATTATTGCCAATATTAACCATCGGTCAAAGTCGAACATTCACTCTAATGCTAATGTGGCGCGACAACGAAATTTTAAAGAAAACTTGAGTAATATAAAGCAATTAAAAAAGTATTGTAAAATTAATATTAAGTAGAGTTATAATAGAAGTGCTTTAATTAGTATAAAACATAGAAATATACATAGCCCTCTACTTGTGTACAAAACTTTCATGTCAAGTTGTTCGTGATCTTATTTGTTATCCTTACAGTATTGCTGCAGTCTTCTTTAATATAACTTGCTTTTAAAAGCAATTTGTAAAAGGAAGTGAGGGTGCGAGCATGTCTATAAACTCATAGAATATGTTTTTCATGAGCTATATGGAACTGGAAGGTACTTGAAACAGTCCACGTTTCTTTAGAGTCGATGTCATGAGTGCCCATTTTTCGAGCTAAATGAATTCGCGAAAGTAGTCATCTAGATAACATTCCCCAGGTCTCTGTTTTGCAAAGTTCCCCCAAAGAGTGGCATCTGCCCTAATAGTATTCTTACAATTACATTTGGTAGAAGTCGCCCTTAATATTGATTTTAAGGAGGGTATCCAATTTATTTCTAAGTACCAAGATGGCCTCTCAAGATGTACATAAAACTTAAAAGCAGTTTCCATAATTAAGTACTCTATACTAAACATGACCCATAACTTCATTCCCGCTCCCACCACGCCCACAACTTCGACAAAATTTAGAGATTTGTTAATCCAACTATGAATTGACAACATAGCAAAAAGGGCATTTTAACTCGATTAACTTCATTATATGCATATATCAATGTGAGTGTAACGCTAACAAAAAATGCTAGACTAACGATGGTCCGACGATGAAAATGAAAATGACGAGCAAGGCGTCCCAATTGAACTCTCCGGTGAATTGCGGCATACGGGGCATGAGCCGTTGAGCTTAAGCCATTCATCTATGCAATTGGCATGAAAATAGTGATTGCACTCTGGAATGGACCTCAATGTCTCCTTGGGCTCGTAATCGGATAGGCATATCGGACAAGTGCCATCACTAGGCTTCGGAAGCCTCCTGCTCTCGCCAAGCACTGTCTTCGGATAAGAAGCAATGGTTGGCCCATCAAGGCCAGCAGCTCTGACCACTGGCTGCTGAGAGATTGTGATGGTAGGGAGCTCGCTAGAGTTTAAACGACCGCGGTGACTGAAAGCCCTGATCCTAGCAAATGCGAAACACGCAAGTCCAATTAAGCACAAGAGTCCTGGTATCCCAACGCCAATGATAATCCCATATTTGGCACTTCTGGGAAGACCTGAAATATAAATTTAACAACAGATGCTGTGAGTAAAAGTACCAAGCTATAAAAATAACAGTTTCCTAATGAATACAACAACACGGCCTTATGCTCTATTGTTTCATCATTTTGGTTAATCTATTGATAAAGGCGTATAACAAGTGGAATAATCTTCCTTGAATCATCAAACTACAATCCAAACTGAAGTCAACACCTTAGTTTCTGTGCAGGATTTTATTCCATGCTAGATATATAATGTCATGAATCAATTATATTTATTTGGACACCATTTTTGACTCATTCCAACAGCCACTGTTTACAGTCTTCACAATCCAGTCAATGTGTCGCAAGCATATTTCCTGTCGAATCGAATTCAATTTGGTACCGCACATACCATTAGCACTTTCTTAGATCGTCTAGATTAATCTCTTACAAGACTTTTGACAGGTTCCTAGCTTACATACAGGGTTTTTGTAACAAGGGCAGTCGTGACCAAAAGACTATGTTATTGAGAGTTAAAGAATGGCCTTGAACATGCTAGGACAAAAAGGTGAAGAACAGCATAAACATTTTTCACTTACAGTCCATTTGTTGGATCAGAATAAGAATAATCTTAATTAATGTGTATCAAAACCAGATTGGACAGTGAATGACATTGAAATGTATACTAATATATGTTTTTTGATTTATAATGAAAGATTGCTTTCTGTTCAGCAGAACTGTCTGATCACTTTACCACTGTTCGTTTATCTACCAAGCCTAATTTAACACATTCAACATTGCCGACTGCGTGATTCGTGGGAGATGTGTCTGTCAAACTTGAATTCTTAGGAATACTTTGTCAATGAATACCTATTTTATTTTGATTGAAAAACCGAAAATGAGAAGAAAAAAATAGTTTAATTGGACTAAAACACAACAAGCTGTGAGCCTGCCCTGTTGTGCAAAACAAACTTATTGTTCTCAATGAATTCTAACAGTCCTCCCCTAGGAGAGTTCACATGTAAACTTCAGAACCTATTGGGGACATGGAATTAGAATCTTTGAAATATCGAAGCAAACTTTATAAGGATTTCCTTTAGTCCCATTGATCAGAACTATTTCTACTATAATTAGCAATAAACCAGACCAAGTGCAAAAAAGGGATGTATCTGATCCCAAATTTATTGGGACATGGCTTAGTTTTCTTTTTCTTGTCGGATATAATTCTGATGCAAAGTGTGGAAAAATTTCAGAACCCCATGTTAAATAGAACCAAACTTACCACGATTAAGAGGTCTTGAGCAACCAACTTCAAGAGCTGTATTGCCTTTGAACCCACAAATCCGACCATTAGCTTCACAAGATCTGCATCGAGGTTCATTCCATGTCAACTGAAAATCCTCCTTGAGTTCCATTGATGACAAGTACTGAGAAACGTAGCGTAGTGGGGGAAATGAAGGACTAGATATCTTGATACAGGACGGTGGAATTTGTTGAGCTGACGAATCAGAAGGCGTAGCCATTACAGTGTAGTTTTCGCCACTAAGGCAATTCAATGGGAAAAGTTCAAGATCATATGCTATCCCGTCCGTGGAGCAGTTAAGGAAAGTGTATTTCCTTGTACGAGTAACCTCGAATGGAGAACCCGAAAGACTGAAATTCAGAATTTTTTTTGGATTACAACGATCAGGATCATTGATAAGAATTGCCTGCTGAATGTAGTCTATGTAGTCTACTACAAATTCACCAGACAGTGGAAGGCTAAGAATTGTTTGGCTTTGGTTGTTGCACGAAAGATCGAAGCCCGAATAGCCACAACGCTCCGGTTGCCGGTCTATCAGCCGGAACGGGAAGCGGATTCTCGGCCCATGAACACTATCACAAGATGCAGAGCTGCAACTATCATCACATAAAACTGGTTGTGTAAAGGAAAAGAGCAAGAACAAGAAGAACAGTGCTAAGGTTTCCATATGGTTTAACAAACAGAATCCTAAACAGTTTTCTGCTATCAAAGTTCTCTTGGAATAAAAACAAACGCCTTACGACAGATACCTAGTGAATCACAGATTATTTGAGAGTGGCTGTGGGGGTGGGGGTATTTGATTTGGCACGTATGAATTCATTTGGCACAGTGTATCTAAAATTTAACAGTGCCAAGAAAAATTGTGCCAATCAGATTAGGCTACTTGGTACTTTGAATATCTAGACAAGTAGACATCATTTTCTGACCAAGAAAAAATATCAGAAAACCTGAAAATACTTGATGAAATTTATTGATAGGGTTCAAAGAATTCAACTTTAATGCATGAAAATAAATAGTGTATATATGTCAAGAGTTGAATCGATTCATCTAAAATTTTGAACCGTGCAAGTTGAATTTTGAACATTTTCTAATTCTTGTTCCAAGTTGAGGTATGAATATAATAGCAGAAAATCAAGAAAATATATTTTGAATCACATGAGATTTTTATATATATTCTTGTCATATTCTCACATGACATCTTATCATTGGACTGATTCTTATATTGCCAACACTTATTATGTCAAAGCATTTGTCAATATTTTTCTGTCAAAGTAGCATAACTTTTTATTACATGACTAGACGAAGTCAAACAACGTATCCTTGAAGGTTATGAAGTTGTCTGGTATAAACTTTTAGCACAAATTCTACCGTTGAGCAGCAAATATTGACCTTAGTTGTGAGATGTGGGCCCCCGCAAATTTGAGTAAAAAGGGTACAAAAATTAATTATAAGGTGGAAAAAAATTTTTAGCAGACAGGCTCTATATTTGATTTTTGATTTCCCTTGAAGGTTATATTTGATTTTTTATTTTCCATATCAATAAACATTCAAGATAATTTGACTGAAAAACAAATAAGACCAATTCCAAGTTTCAACATCTGACGTGTCCAAACATAATTAGTTTGTCAATAAAATTTGGATAGAGCTAATATGTAGGATTTAACCAAAAAAATTCAATATACTTGCATATGACAAGATATGATTAGATAGAAAAGCATTTTAAATTGTCCAATGATGGAAAATTTTATATTAATCTTGATGTTCATATAGCATGATTGGATTTTCCACTTTCTCCACAGAGAAAAATAAGAAGGATTTTGCTACATATATATCAAAATTTACATAATATAATGTCATATGATACTCTATTATTTGCCAATTGAAAATATAATTAGCTTTTTCATCCACTATTTTCCTTCAATATAGGATGGTGTTTGGTGTAGATTAAATCAGATTTTAAGTGGATTGTGATAGAAATTTTTAAAATGAGTGGTCGCAAATATGTGGGGTCCATGAAAGATGTGGATGATATTGATTGTTTGACTTTGACTTAGATTAAAATCTGACCAAAATAGGTCTATGTAATCCATTATGTACATTTTTGTGTACAAGTAGAAAAATCCAAATAAGAGTAAAAATTTAAGATTTTCAATTTTATTTTAAAATTCTTTGAAGAGCCCAATAAACTATTTTGTATAGTTTCAATTATCTTCAAACATACAACACAAATTAATATATTAAAAGTAGTGTTTAGCATGCTTCTAACTAAAGCGCATCTAGTGTAGTGGTATCATAGTACCCTCCCACGGTACTGACCGGGGTTCGATTCCCCGGATGCGCATTTGTAATTTGTAATGGATAATATTTTTTATTTTTTGGCATTTCATGAAACTGGCAAAACTATTTGTAATTAATATATTGTATTATAATGTTATTCTGGGAGGATTTAAGATGATAGTTGTTGGGTACAAGGCAATGTAAAAACTACGTTTTTTGTGAACATCGGGATTTGTTTGGTCTTCGATATCAACATACTTGAATATGAAATATATTGAAATTAGCAAAAATGATCGTCATACTCGAACATTAGATTAATTTGGATAAACAAAACAATGCTAATGTAGAAATAGTTAGTTGCATCGAGTTGTTTATCTGATAATCAAGTTGTCACAGCGTGTAATGAACTCTAACGCTTAAAAAAGGCATTCAAAATTTAAAAATGGGTCAATTTTAAATTAAATTAAAGATATTCAAAGGCCGACTTCCAACTATATTAAATAGGCCGCCAAATAAACATTTCTATATATGGATGTATAAAACAAAATAATCAATATTTGTATGAATAGAATATTATTTTAAAAAAAAAAAATTATATATAAAAGATTCTTACTTGTTTAAGCTAGCAACGGCACATTAAATAAATAAATAAACTTAATTATCTAAAATAAGTTATTTTTTCTTTGTTTGACTAGCAATTGGCCATACTTCAAACAAGACAGATTATCCACAGCCGTCGATCAAAATAATGAGTGTACAAGTTTGTCTCTCTTGATTATTCCAATACGTTTACTTGACACGTCACCTAAGATCATGCTTATGTAATTTTTTATTTGGTTAATTAAATCAATATTTGTCATATTAATTAAAAATAATAATATAATAACTTATTGAACACAAAGCTCATTAACTGATAATTAATAATCAAGGGAATGCTTCCATCTATTAAATTTTCATAAAAAATATGAATTTACTTGATAAGGATTAATGAAGGACAATAATTACCATTACCTTTAATCAAATTAATTTTTTTTTTAAATTATTGACTAAAAAATGAAAATTATATTATCCATCTGAATTCGTCGTAGTAACATTCACCTATCCCTGTCCATTAGTAGTTTTTTTATCCATATATATTGAACTCCTATTCGTGAGTATAGATTGATTTATCTGTAGTGTTTGTCCACTTAAGATACGATTTATATATAAAAAATTGTGATTTTCTTTGGTCGCTACAATTTTCTAATGATATATGTTTCAAAGTGATTTTAAAATAGTTAGATATTTTGAATTTGTATAACTTGTACACGTAAAGTTGCGTGTTCTTGAAAAAAAAAAAATTCTAATACTATGTGTCACTATTAAATTGATATGTATATTATTTATCCATGTTTGAGAGTTTTGAGTACCAATTGATATGTAATAGGAATTTTCTCATGTTCTTGATAGGATTTAAAAAACAATAAATAAATAAATAAGTTTGTGGGGGCTCTAAGGCTGCATTCAGCGTATACCGTAGAATGGGTAGTAGTAGGTGAACAATTTTTTATTTTTTTTTTAATCTTTTAGTAAAAAAAATGGCATTCGTTCTATATCAATTGTATAGCATACTGTGAAGAGAGCATAAAGTTTTAGACTGATAAATATAACTGGTATAAATGATATTTTTGTGGCTAAAAATCGAAGAATATTATCCACCACAATTCCGTTCACCTACGATATCTATTATAATTTTATAATTCTTTGAACACTTGAAAAAAGAGTGGTATAAAAAAATATCAACATTATCGTTTATCAACATATTCTCCGATCTGGACCTGATCATATTATTAATGTTTTGTTAAAATTACACGTAGTTACAATCAAATGAAATGTCTTTATTTTGTTAGAGACTTGTAATAGCATTACGATCTATTTCACAACTATTGTAAATATGAAGAAAATTTTGAAGATAAATCACTCTAAAATACTGATAGCGTAATAGATCATTTTACTAATATATTTTTCTTTTTACCCACGTACATACATATGATAGGTTGGAGGTGGGACGCAAAGGCTACATGGGCGAGCAAGAGGTTTGAGGTTGGGGGAGGAAAGAAGAAGATGGAATTATGCAAAAAGGACACATAATGCTAATAGAAATTAGGATTTTGATATGTATACATCCCGATGTACCCGGGGGGGCTCACAACCAATAAAAAAATTCTGGCCCCCTTATTATGAAGGGGGTGTGTACAAATAGCAAAACCATAGAAACTAAAGGTTGGGGCTTGAAAAATTAAATTTAATGATTGAAGATGTATTTGTTATATAGGCTAAAAGTTAAGGATTAATTGTGCAAATTTTCCAAAGAAAAATTAATATTATGGTTCTAGGATTCGAATGCTTCCCAAAAATAAAACACTTACCATGAGCAAACTGACATTTTAATCTTCTTTATATATTTTATAAATATATAAAAGAGAATTTAGTATTATTTTTTTCATGTCCCTCCGTCCTTAGAGAATAGAAAATGGTTAACGGAGGCATACGAGCTAGTAGGATGAACAACGAAACTGTCAACCGTAAAATCGAACTGAAACTGCTTTTTTGAAACCGTTGGTTTGATTTCACGTGGATCTATCAATATTTTGATATGAACTGAACCAAATCGCTCCAAAGTCGTTTGATTTAGATTTCAATCTTTGCAAACCATCAAACTAAAAGTCTCAATAAAAATTAGGGTCCGTTTGATTGTATGTGTGGAAAATAGATGGAAAGAAAATGAATTCCAGAGAAAGTAATTGTCTAGAAATTATTTTACAAGGAATTGTTAATTAATTGTGTTTGATTGATATAATTTTCTGAGTTTATCTACTTGTACATAATTTGGTGTACATCAAGGTATCCACTCTCTCACATGAGGGTGGGACCCACTTGAATAAAAAATATTTTCTCCAAGTGGGCCCCACCCCCATGTGAGGGGATTGATACCTTGATGTACACCAAATTATGTATAAGTAGCAAGGCTCTAATTTTCTTGGTGGAATATTTTTAAATTTTGTGTCCGTTGGGCTTAGTTTTACATGAAAATTGTCCATTAAAGTGATTTTTTTTCCCACAATTNTTAGTATTCGTTTGGCTTTATTTTATATGAAAATTGTCTATTAAAGTGAATTTTTTTTATAACTAATTATGAAATTTGTTTTTATTGGCAAAAGAAAAAAAATGACAGCACCCACAAAACAAGGAAATAAGGTGCGTGGGGGTAGGGGTGGAAAAGTTTTTCTTAACCAAATTTCTCCCATCAAACATCACTTTTGCATGGAAGTGGTTGTGTATCAAACACAACCTTAGTCTAAATTATTTAACCTAATTAAAACTAAACACATTTCGGTCAAAAAGATACAT